GGAGGAGGAGGAGGAGGAGGATGAGGAGGAGGAGGAGGAGGAAGAGGGGGCAGAAGAGGAGCCGGAGTGAGGGGAGCGGTGAGTCTGGCCGCGGTACCGGATTGAGTCGAATCCGCGGACAGCGGCGACGTGTTCGCGTCGTCAGGGACGGCTCGTCTCCGACGCAACCCGGGGCCACAACACGACGCACACACGTCCAGACGCATGTGGGACCGACTTGCGTCGCGTCGACTAACAACTCGAGTCTTCTCGAGACGCAAACTGTCGCGATCGCTGGCAGATGCCGACTAACGACCGCTCAGACAATCGTGTCTGTGCGTACGTCTGTTGCTATTCGTGTCTGGTTGTTGGTGTGCATGATGGAGCACACTAGACCCTTCGCCAACACCGAAAGGTCTCGCCTAAATCACCATCCTTTTCTACCCTAGACACGATTTACTGCAGTACATACCTCATTTTACACGAATAATAACACACACAACACACATACAGGCTTGTGCATATCTGCATTGGCCTCAAACTCTCCTATCACCATGCCAATGGACAGGCGCTTCCGCCACATCTGCATACGAGGGCACATGTGGCTACCACTGCTTCGTCAGTTTTGATAACGAAAAGTTATTTTTTCAGGTATGACCATCTGCAGCTCAGAAAGTAACGAAGTGCAAAATAGGCTCATGGTGTTTCATATATATATATATATAAATTTATACACACATATATATAGACATATATAAATATTTATACATATATACATATATATATATATATATATACATGTATGTATATATATATACATACATACATAAATATTTATACATATATATATATATATATAAATATCTATACACACATATATATAGACACACATATATATATATATACAAATAAATATATTATATAATTTATTATGAGGAAAAAATAATAAAACTATTTTCAAAAGGTAAGTTTAAACGATATTATTTTTATTATTGATATTACTGGCAAAATAGGTGTATCATCCGAAAACGGAATCTCCTCAGCTTTCCCACATCAGTATAGACAGCAGCTTACGATTTTACTTTGCTTCAGCTCAGCTTGAGCCATAACTCGGGATTTATTGTGTGAAACAGCCCCTTCAGACTCGTGTCTGCAGTACAATTCTTCGTCAAAACAGGTCCCATGACAGCCTAGGGCTAACAAGGCAAACGCTTTTCTATCCGAGCGCAGTCCAAAGCCGCATTTGTATTTTTATATATATTTTTTATGTATAAAAAAAACTCAAAATAGACACAGAGGAAATAAGAGAACTGGTGGACATTAAATAACGCCAAAAGTTAGAGAGTGACGCTTGTGGAAAAGTCAAGGAAACCGAGAAAACGTTCAGGCGTCGAGCAAATTGAAGAGAAAAATATGCCCAAATTTTACAACATGACTTAAGCAATGAAATGACGCTGAGAAAGAATTCCGGCCAACATTTCAGCGAATACTTCTGTTCTAACGAATTGTTTATTGGACCATTTAGATCGTAGATATGAAGACCAAGATGGTGTAGCTTTGCGTTTAGTCGCAGTCCTTGTTAGCTTTATAATGTTGGTTCGACCTTGTTTTCGCGACTACCACAAGGTCTGCCCTACACTCCGACCAAGTCGTACAAATCAGACTTAACCAGCACCTTAAAGCATTATTTAATCTCATATTTGAAGGTAAAGACTTTGAATCCATTTTACCTCCGCAGTTAATAGGCATTTAGACACTCGCAATCATCACTAGAATTCGGCTGACTTAAAATAAACTGAGATGTATTCACCCAATTTCGTGTAAGGTGATGAAGTACTAGTAGAAGATTAATTTTACCACAATGATATGAATTGAGCTGACGTTTCCATTCAATTTCACATAGTCTTGCTTTCCCAAAAGTTGTCTCATCCAGGTAGAAAGTGCAGTCCACTCCAGTCGGGATGAGAACAACTTTTGGGTAAGCAAGACTATGTGAAATTAAATGGAAATGTCAGCTCAAATCATATCATTGTGGGAAAATTCATCTTCTACCAGTCATTCATCACCTTAAATGAAATTAGGTGAATACATCTCATACTACTAATTTACTGGTAGTCTCGACACAATACTTAAATGCGAATATAACAAAAATAAATTATTATAAAGGTAGCTAGACATAGGATGATTTTTATAGTTAGTTCTCAGGGTAATCTTAATATATTTTTCGCATTTAATTATTGTTTCGAGACTTACAGTAAATCAGTAGTATGAGATGTAGAAACTGCAGTCCACTCCTGCCTGGATGAGAACAACTGTTAGGAAAGCAAGGCAATATGAAATTCAATGAAAACGTAAGTTCAACTCATATCATTGTGGGTGAATTCTCCTTCCACCAGTCCTTCATCTCTTTAAACGAAATTGGGTAAATACATATCATACTACCGATTTACTGGTAGTCACCAAAACAACACTTAATTCGAAAATTAAAATAAACTGTTAGTGGCAGTCAAACGAGTGGTTTGGCGGCTTTCATCGTAGACAAAAGGGTCATCTACACTAAACAAAGTCATGTAGGGCTGAGTGTACAACTCATAAAGTGACTTGCAATCCTGGCTTCGTCACCATCGGGAATTTGATAATAACCCAAAACCCATAAGGTTATGCAATACACAAAAGTTTAAAGGTACAAATGAATGAATATATAAAAAA